CCATAGGATCAAAATTGGGACTGACTTGGGACTTTGATATGCTGGCAATCACAGCCGCGGGGGCTGAAGCGTGGTCATTACCTTGTGATGGCTAGGCGCCGGCGTGAGGGGGGGTTAGATCGACTTTGATACATAAGGGTTATTTCGGTTTGAAGGCATGAGGTAGTCGCTTCGAACAAAAATGGGTCCAGGCCTGTCAAAAGAAGCAATGAAATGTGGGGCCCTCAGACCCTCGGAGAGGGGGCGTCAAGACTGCGAAGAAGCATGCGCGTCGAGGAGAACTGCAGTAGGTACCGTCTAGGTCGGCTTCGAACTGTCGGGCCCCCCCACTGAGCGAAAGATGACCCGGTTGAGCTGGGCAGGGCGTGAACAAGGATCTAAGGATTCAGAAGCAGCCGGGCAGCTGGCCGATTAGAAGATTTACAGGGGTGATCCGATCTGGGGCATGGAGAAGAGAAGGAAGGAATCAGCTGAGCAAAGGGGGACGACGGGCGCTGAGGATTCGGCTTGCGCACAGCCAGCTGGAAGGCAGAAATGGGCCACAAGGACCCAATGGAAGAGGAAGAGCCGTGTAAGCCGTCGGCGCTGCAGAGAAGGGTGAGATTCAAAAGAGGGGGTTGCGGGATCGGCAATGCAGAACGTAACTGTCAGCAAAGGAGAGTGCGCCCTCTCTTCTTAGTAAACGTTCGTACGATCCTGGATCCAAGACTGCGACAAGAAGGAACGAATGGGGGAGAAAGCTGAGAAATGCAGGAAAGGAGGTTAACTTCGCATGGCGGGAAAATAGAAGCTTCAACTGTTTCTTGCGAAGCATGAAACCAAGGAGTAAAAGCGGGAGTACCGATCGATAAAAAAGGGGGAAAGTTGGCAGAGGACGAGGCGGGAACAACACAAATTTGCGAAAATTTGAAGAGTGAACCGGGACTGATGGGGGGAGGTACGGAGGTCACGATGATTGGAGGAAGGACACGGACTGAGGATTGATATGAGGAGGAGGAAGGGGGGAGGAAGTAGTATAAAAGGAGGGCAGGAGGTGAAGGTCAGGAGGACGCACGGGGGCTGCGACGAAGGGAGTCACTCGGGGCGCACGAGAGTTCGTGCTCGACCTCGTGCTCGGTCGGAAACACGAGCTCAAAAGAGAGCGAGGCGCTCGCGGAGAGAGAGAGGGGAGGGGAGCTCGTACGTGCCCGGATCGCTCGCTCTCGCTCGCGCGAACGGAGAGAGACTGCGGGAGGATACTGCGCTCGGAGGAGGGGTCCCTCTTCTTGGGCCGCGCACGAGCGAGTGTTCGACGGAGCGCCCGTCGAGCGGTTTCCGGGCAGAATCAGTGAGCGAGAGAAGGGGAGTACGGGAAGGGGGGGACGAGCGGAGCACGCTCTCACGCCCAGTATGTGTGACGAACTGCGGGCCATTGAGCCCTGAAGAGAGAGAGAGAGAGTGAGAGAGAGAAAGAAGGGAACGCACGGAGAGATTGGGGAACGTTGGTACATCGCGCGGGCGGACACGCAAGGGAGGGGGGACGTCCGTCGCAAAAGGGAACCATGAGCGCAGCGACATAGAGACCATACCCGGGAGCACGGTCCATAGCATAATAGTTGCGCGCGCCCATCGCTCGTTAGCCCGGAGCCGCTGGCGCATACTCGAAGAGCGCTCGGAGTACATTGACTGCCACCGGCGATCGTCAAAACTAACGACACGTGAAGGGGAGAGAGATAGTGGGTCGGGGTGGGGAAGACCTTCGAGAGGAAAAGAGAGAGAGGGGAGGGGAAGGCGAGCTGAGATATGAGCGGAAGACACTTCGTTAAGGGAGTGCTCGGTGGCATGCAGACGCAGCGGCTTCGCTAACGGCATGACCGGGCCATAGCGCGTGGCGGCAACGGGGTCGCGCGTGAACGGAGGGAGGGCTTACTGGCGGAGTCGACGAGACTTTGCACACTTTCGCGCCGAAGAAGTGGCCGAGAGAATAGAGCACGGGAACAGCGAAGTCGCGCGCGATTGAAGAAAAAGCAATCTAGCCAGGTCGACAAAATTTTGTGCGGAAGTCTAGCGTGCGGAGAGGGAAGGCCGACGGTGCTCTGAGCCTTTAAGCACGTGCGCAGGGGCAACTCGGTCAAGCCAAGCCGCAGGGGTGATGCCTCTTTTCGCGCAATCGGGGGAGTGAGCCAAAGCGGCTACTTGGCCGTTCCACGTGGGTATGAGCTGACAAGATGGTTGGAGGGGCCTGTGGGTACTCATGTCGTGATCAGGAGGGAGCTGATCTCTCTTTAGACGTCTGATGTTTGCTCCACCCCGGGACACCTGTCACTTCGGGAACCGGACTCGCGCTGCTTGCTTCATCATCACCTGCGCCATCGGCAACCAGAACGACAATACGGTA